AAGGCCAGAGGCACCAAGGCCATGTTCATGGTCACCTATTAACGAGGCAGTCCTATAGGTTTTGAGACAAAAAAGTGTAAGCTTAAAAAACAGGCCAAGCGATCCCTAGAGAATGAATGTAACAAGGGCGAACACAGGGCAGCACTAATCGTGGCGACAGAACGGCGAAGGATGTCAAGGGTGCAACAAACCTCGTGAACGCGTCATGGTCGATAAGGCCAGGCGATGTGGAGGCGTCGAAGGACATTCTGTAGCGGCTTCGGTCGGTCTGTTCGGCAGAGTGTACCAGGTTTCCAGTGCTTCGATTCTTGGGGAGCGACAGAGGCTGGAGCATCTTTGCTCGCCCGCGGTCTCCATCTGAGGTTCGAGGATCGGCACCTACAAGCAAACATCAGTACTTGTTGAACGCCCTCCTTTTGGTCTTGGGCGCCTGAACGTCGAAGGTCGAGGGGGGTGGAGGGGACGTGGAGCCCACCATTTTCGTTCTTATGACCGCCGCCATGCGTCTGGTGCATAGTTGAAGGCGGCGACAAAGGTGCTGCAGGGTTCCCAATCAGGTGTTTGTCGCTATTTATTTCCGCGGGGTGGAGGGGTGCAGAGATTTGCTCGGGAGCGTTGTGCGAACGAACACACAAGACGGGTTCACACAAGACAAGAGGTTCGGTCGCAGTGCGTGCGGGCGGGCAGGGCGTCGACTACTGGGGACAAGAGCGATGGTCCGTCGTTTGCAAATGGCAGAGAAACCACCTGCGCTTGGTGCAATGAGTGTTGGCGCAAGATGCGAGAGTATGGTCCAATCGCCGGATGGGTGCGTGCCAGCCTGCCAGCCTACCTGCTTGGTTGCCTGTGCCTGTTCCTGTCTTGTGTCCAGAGAAGCTTGAGGGGTGGTTGATTTAGCAGCTGTGGAACAGCATCGACCGATGTCTCCTTTGCAGCCTCTCCCTGTCACGGCACAGTCACAGGCCAAATGCGTCTAGAACCGATTAATTAGATTAGGTATGGTATTAGTGAACCCTTCCCTTCCTCGGGGACAAGGACGAGGGGCTGGACGGGCTATTGGGTGTGCGCGGGGCAGTGCGAGGCGACAGGACAGAGTGCAGAGGTCAAATTCTATCGTGCGTGCTTCAGTCTGTTGTTGGGGTGGATTCCAGATTTCGTCCCGGGCGAGCCGACGAGGTTTTGTGTCAACGACGAGAGCCTACTAGAATGAAGTTTTTTCTTACTCGTCTACTCCTCTTTCAGCCTCCTCCTCTGGTCTTAATAGGTCGGTGAGGTCTTGCTGTGTTGGCGTCTCATAATTCCCACTGGACGTCAGGAACCGCCATTGGCCCTAGGCGGTACTGCCACAGACGGGCACTGGCTGAAGCCTAAGGAGTGTGGGAACCTCCCACCTCCCGGTGGAGTGAGTCAGTGGGTTCGCTCTGGTACAGAGAGTTTCACTAGCTGCGCCGACGTGCCATCCGCCCCCAAGACCTGGCCGAGGCCGCTGGAGCTGTCCATACATGGTGAGTCGAGCTCATATCGGCCTGTCTTAGGCGTATCTCTCTGGCCCAACAAAAAGAGTATCGACTAACCACGCCAGCTCGCCCAGAGGCTTACCTGGCCAGTCTGGAGGTCCAGTCCTCTCCCAGCCAATATTCGCTTGCCGACAGAAGACTACACGAATAACCCTTCTGCCGCAGGTGCCCGTGTGCAATTGGAGCTAGGGGAGAAGCACGACGCAGTAAGATGACCTCACTCACTACCTCCTGGCACTTTGAAAATTAAGCACCGTTATCTTGGCATAGCACGGCATGGAGCTGCGAGAGCCACTCAGCGTGCGAGATCAAGACACGGTGCCCCCACATCACCTCAAACCTCCAGGGGAATTTTACGAGATTCAGTCTCTTCGATGGAAGATGGCATGGCAAGGCTTCCAATCGGCCCAGCTAAGTTCATGTAAAACGCCCGGATGAATTGCGCGGGCAGTCTCTCTCGACCTCAATGATTCTTCTTGTATATGTCTTTCCACACCTCAGCACACCCATTTGTTCACGACTTGTCGCTTGGATAGAGGCAAATCACTTGACATGTGATGGCCAATGTAAAAATGTATCAGCCATTCAATATTGCGTCATCAAGCTAGACCCTGCCTCCCACTAGTGATGCTTTGACCATCACTTGCGAGAGCTCAATTTACGACTTTTATGCTCTCGCCTGTGCCTGATTGAAATCAGTCCGTGTGCAGGGTAGCCACAGTTTAGCCTCTGGCCAGCTATCGTGATAAGGATACGAACCAATGCAGATCAGGAGCTTCCATACCTCCTTTGTCAATCAGGAGGTGCTAGGCGGTTTAGGTTCAGCCACTGTCATGAATTGCTAGTATCTGTCCTTGTTGGCATTGCGCAAAAATGTAGGGACAGACTCCAACTCAAAACACATGTTGAACTCGAAGGACTTTTACATCCTGAGGCCACCAATAGCTTGCAAGTAATTGCACGACCACCTATGCTCTCCCACCGTAAGATCTGCATTGGGCCCCTACTCACTAACCGATTACCTGCATACTAGCCAATATATGCCCTAAAATATGCAAAAAGAGCACGCAGGGTCTTTGTCATAGCAAAGAGCTGGACCCCTATTTCCCAGTCTCTTTATGTACTAGAAAACGTCTTACCCCAACACAACTTTGATTCCAGACTAGCGGCAGAAGAACCATAACTTTGCTTACTTTGAGAACCACGAGTCATGGACCTCCATGATCGCTGTGGATGCCGGTGGGAGGCTAGTTGGAGGAACTGACCGGAGCGAATTTCGAGAATGGCGATTATTGCCGCAAAAGAATGAGGTGCCCGGCTGGGAGGGAGTAACCGCTGCGCAGTCGAATTTCCCCCTTCCCACAGATTGAGTGAAGAGGGTGCCCCGCGGTGGTATCTTCTGGATCAGGAGGTGCAATGGGTTTTTTTATCAATAAACCCCCTCCTTCTTTGGTGTGAATAGGTAGCTCACGGTGTAAACAAGAACATGTTAGCTAAGGAAAATAAATTTATCATTGGCACAACTGAAAATGTCATACGCACTCATTCGGCGAGAAGCCTTGGGTAGAATGCCAACACTTCGCAAGAGAAGATGGAACGACAACCCCGTCTTGCTCGTATGCCTACTTTCTAGGGTAGGTATGATGGCTAGCAGTGCACTGGAACTACTTTGGCCTGCATTTCGAAAAAATGGCGATTGTTGCCGTGGAAGAATGAAGCGGCTTGACTGGGGAAAAGCGATAGTGCTGTTTATTAGGGAGCCTTCATGACTCGGCTCGAGCCAAGCGACTTCCTCGCACCCCCAAGGCAATGAATGTGGACTGAATATTCCACGACCCACGACCAATTGGCGTGTAAGAGTCCTACGGTCTCGATGAAAGTTCCTAGTTAACGCCGGAGCCTCCCTGTGCCAAGCACTCTAGTATGCTGATAGTCTGACAAGTTCAGGGTCCAGTCTAGGCCAAGCACGCGGCAAAGTTGGGGTAAGGGTAGACCAAAAAAAGAGATATCCATTGCCATACTGGGTGGAAGAACCCTGGCTCTACTCAGGTACCCCGGACGGATGTTCTGTTCAGGCGCCATGTACTCCCTTTGCTCTGATTCCTCCTGCCGCCTGCCGTTTGCTTTTTGCATCACAACACCGTCCTCCTCTCACTGGGAATAGAGCATCGCATCACTGCATGCATCTCCCAACAGATGGGTAGGACGAGGATCCATCCATGGCATGTTCCTGCGTGGGCCAGACCGGCCGGTTCAGGCGACTAATACCTTCCTACTCTATCATGGTGGTGGGAGGTGCTTACACGGCTATCACCAGTAGCCCCCATTACCCCTCGATTCTCGTCCATGTCCACGAGTACACGTCCCTCCCGGGCCTGAACCTGCAGATAAGTCGGTTGACTGGACTTGGTGTGGCAAGAATCCCCTCAGGTCCCCTCCCTCCCAGCACAAGCGTGCGCAGCCAGTCAGTTTGTGGATGCTAGGCCTAGCACCAAAGGTAGAGAGGTGGTCAGTCCGGTCAGTACACCGCACCACTGGTGAATGGCCCTTGTCGCGGGTCGCTACATACACTACATCGTATTTTAGCGAGACTGGCCCACTGCCTTGGCAGGTACGTATTGACAGCATTTAGTTTGGCCTGCCCCAGCAAAAGCCGCAAAGTCAGTACAGCAGTGGTAGGGTGAATACCATGGTAGAGAAGGTACTCCGATACAGTACGTACAGTGAGCCAACAGGCTGGTTGGACTGGACGAGCCTTTTTTCGCCCGTCAGCCCCCCCTCCACGGACCCCTAAAAAGTTCTCGTGTCCCATCGTCTTCCTGACCTCGAGTCTGTCCTCTAGCCTTCTCTCTTCCTCCCTCCTCCCATATCTCCCCTATCTTGCGTGCGTGCTCGTGTGATCAAGGCTTTGGTTCCTGGTGGACAAATGTCTTATCATTAGCTCTGCTTCCCTTCCTTATCGCGACCAGCCTTGGGGTAACCCCGCTGAGCGTGCACAGTGACCCGTTCTGTCCTGCTGACTTGGGTCCTGGTCACCCCATGCCAGGGTCTTCTGATCACAACATCCGGCCAGCGGTTGGCGATTCTATTCACGCGACGACCGTCTTTTGGCTCCGATCACAAAAATAAATCTCACTCTTTCCCTCGCTTCCGGACAGAGGAGCCCGACCCGGAGGCGATTGATCTCTTTACCCGTTTTCCCTCTGGGCATGTCGTTTTTTCCCGGGACTCTCTCGACTGATCCGAAACTCCCATCGCCAGAGCCCTGAGATCTCGACCCCACCGCTAGTTTGGCCCCACGTACTGCCTCTACGATTCGTAACGTCCAACGTCCTGGCCTGACTTGGTTGGCGACTCCATCTTGGGATTTTCAACTGGAGTTATTTTCTTGTGCTTAGCAGTTCTAGCAGGAGGTGTCAAAGCCACATGAGAGATCCGTCCCTACTTCTCTGTCAAGGCTAGGAGACCGTTCCGCAGACTACAATGGCCGAGCCACAAGAACCTGCCGGCACTGTGGACGCCCTGGCAATGGTGGTGGGCCAGGACAGTTCCATCATCACCACCCAGCCCGAAGCACCCGTCGCCACAAAGCTCAAGGGCCGGCACCGCCTCTTGCAGGGGATTCAGCGCATTTCTTCCTCGCCCTCTTTGACAGGTCTCCGACGGTCCAGATCCGTGAGCGCTCCGTACAGTTTGAGCACTAGAAGCAGCTTGTCCTGTGTTAGTTTGGCTGTGGCGGGACCAGTGCGGACACCCCACAGTCCAGGGTCGTCTACTCCACAGGCATCGCCTCTGGGCCAGCCAAGCTCCTCGTCCTCTACTACGGAATTTCCATTATATGAAAGCATCGAGGCTCATTTGGCAGTCCGAAATGCCCAAGGATGTGTACCTGGATCGGCTCCTGCCACGGCGCCAGTCCCTGCCGATATTAAGCTGGGCCGCTCTGACACACAGAGCAAGTCAAGGCCCAGAGCTGCTTCGGCGGCTGCACGGAAGAAGCTTGAATTCCGATTTTGGGACACAATGCCCCATGAAATACAAGTATATATCTTCTCCTTTCTCCTCCCTAAGGAGCTGGTCCGGGCCTCTCGGGTGAGCAAATCCTTCTACAGATTCTGTTTTGACGGTCAGCTCTGGACTTCTCTCGACGCATCGGAATTCTACAAGGATATACCTGCCGACTCCCTGGCTCGGATCATTTCATCGGCAGGCCCATTCATCAAAGTTCTCAATCTTAGGGGATGTGTGCAGGTAGAGCACTACAAGCGAGCCGAGGTCCTTGTCAAGGCATGCAAAAATTTGATGAATGCCACCCTGGAGGGTTGCCGCAACTTCCAGAAGGGCACACTCCATAGCTTGTTGGAGACGAACCAACAATTGGTCTATCTGAACCTGACTGGCTTGACAGCGGTATCAAACAAATCATGCAAGATTATTGCCGAATCTTGTCCTCAGTTGGATACTTTGAATATCTCTTGGTGTGGCAAAGTCGACCATCGCGGGATCTACTCAGTCATTACTGGCTGCCCGAAGCTGAAGGACCTCCGTGCTGGTGAGATACGTGGTTTCAATAACCTAGGGCTTGCTCTGAAGATATTTCAGACCAATAACCTCGAGCGACTAGTTCTGAGTGGATGCGCCGAGCTTACTGATGAAGCTTTAGAGGTTATGCTACATGGGAAAGACCCCGAGATGGATATCTTGACCGATTTGCCCATTGTCCCTCCCAGGAAATTGAGGCATCTTGACTTGAGTCGCTGCTCCAGGTTGACTGATCGGGGTGTCATGGCTATTGCTCACCTGACGCCTGACCTTGAGGGTCTGCAACTTTCACGCTGCAAGCTACTCACTGATGCTGCACTGGAGCCCATCCTTGCATCAACTCCTCGACTTACTCATCTGGAACTGGAAGATCTCGAGGAGTTGACAAACGACTTTTTGATTGAGCATTTAGCAAAGGCGCCTTGCGCAGGGAGGTTGGAACACCTGTCGCTCAGCTACTGCGAGAACTTGGGAGATGCAGGCATGCTCCCAGTGATGCAGAAATGTACTCGTCTACAGAATGTCGAGCTGGACAATACTCGCATCAGCGACCTGGTGCTTGCTGAGGCGGCATCCATGGTCAACAAGCGATCTAGGCGGGTCATGGAAGCTGGCGGAAGGCCTCAAGTCACGCTACGCATGGTTGTCTATGATTGCCAGAACGTGACGTGGATGGGCATCCGTGAAGTCTTGTTTCGCAATGCCAACGTCAAGCCGGCCGTAGGCCACCCTGGCAGAGTCTCCTATCCTACCGAATCAATTTCTCTGAAATGCTTCTACGGCTTTCAGATGACGGTTGATGAGCACCAGAAACGTGTCTTGCGCGGGGACTTTGATTCCGCCGCAACTCTGGAGAGACGGTGGGCAGATTACATGCAAGCTTCTGAAGAAGCAGGTATGGGAGGATCGGGGCATCGACGCCGTCGCCGACGTGCCCGTGAAGCTCAGGCACTTCACATGAATGAAGAAGACGGCAATCTTGGACAGGGCGGCCGCCGACGAGCGAGGACAATGGGGAGCTGCCTTGTTATGTGAGTCAGAGACTCACTTCTAGACTGGATGCTGGTTTACTCATTTGGTTTTGCACACAATTATTGCGAAGGAACTTGTTCTTGGAATAGACTGGGTTGAACGAAGGATTGAATTCTTGTTTCGCATCCAGCATATTAGACTGCCATTTGCATTTTCTTTTCCCTCCCGCAAGGTCCGTTCCTCTGGGGCTTCTTTCTATTTTCTCTTTCTGCTTCTTCTTCTTTTCCTTTTTTCCTTGTTCCTTTTTTTTCCTTGCGAAGATCGGTTCTGGTGTTTTTGATGGAGGAATGGTATGATGTTTGCTGGTCCTGCATCTGTTATTTGTGCAACCGGGGCGCTAGGCGTGGGTTTATGGGATGGGAGGCTTCAGCGATTGATTTCTACTTGATTCACCTTAGAATGGTGTTTGTTTCGGGGTTCTTTTGTCTTGGTGTCTGGTTACAGCTTCAGCTTGAGCATGAACATCCACATCTAGGTATATAAGTGAATCTACATATGCAGATATACACTTTCAATCGGCTCTTGAGTGGCTTAGAAACGACTGTGGCTCATTAAAATGATGTGTTTGAAGGTTCACATCCGAGTCCATCTCGTCTTACCGTGTTAGTCGTATTGCCGAGGTTTGAACTTGAAGCATCTCGAGGCTTGGCAGATCCTACCTTGCATCCTAAATTGGCAATTTGGTTAATTTCCATTCTGTGGGGGTGGTCGCGGGGTACCTTCACATGTTCCCTCCCGGCCACGACTTAAATCTAACATTGTTCCCAAGGCCAGCTTTACTTCTGCCCACGAAATCCTTACCGAGGCATCCCCTGAAGACGGCCGGGAGGATGTCGCTGGAATGCATATATGTTGTTCGTCATGGAGTAAGTCGGATCCATGCCTCGCTGAACAGCGGTGCAATTGATTGTTGCCATCAGAGCCGAGGCAAATGAGGGATCCCAGCGCAACATGCATCGTGAACCACCCAAGACTGACAAAAATGCTTTGACGCAACTCAGTTCCGCGGGGCCTGGAACGTCGATCCTAGGACGGGAGTCTACTCGACCACAGTTCCTACGCCAACGGGCATCGCGGCTGATCCGGCGCTTACTTCCCACGGGACTCGCCAGGCCGAGGAGCTCGGCCATCACTTGATGACGCTTAACCCGCCTATTGATGCCGTGTATTCAAGTCCTTACTATCGCTGCCTCCAGACGATTTCCCCCTTTGTGGAGCTCCGCCGCCGCCAGGTAGAAGCATCATCGGGGGCACCGTCTTCTGATGGCGCGGCTGCCTCTGCGACCTCCATCCGGCCAGAACATGGCCTGGGGGAATGGTACGGCCTTGCCCCCTTTGACCACCCCCAGCCTGCGTCAGGGAAGGCCCTCAAGGATAAATTCCCAGCCATATGTGAGGACTACAGCTCAACCACGCATGCGCCTATCAAGGGGGAGACGTTGGCACAGCTCTACGAGCGGATAGCGACGTCGGCCCGCGCCATTATTGAGCGCTGCGATAATGAGGGAAAGAGGGCAGTGGTGCTGTGCACACACGCCGCTGTGGTCATCACCCTTGGGAGAGTATTGACAGGTTGCATCCCCGATGATCCCTCAGTGCAGGATTTCGGTGCCTTCACCTGTGGCCTGAGCGTCTTCAGGAGACCAGCTGCCGCCACCGGTGGGGAGAAACAGCAGCAGGGCCAAGTCCAGCGTCGGCAGGCAGGGCCGCCTGTAAGGGAGGGAGAAGTAACCCATGTATCGGATGCAGCACCAGCCATTTCGGATGAAGGCAAGGAGAGACCGAGCTCCTTGGAAGTGGTTCCACCATGGCGTTGCGAATCAAACAGCGATTGCAGTTTTCTAAGTTCAGGAGCAGAAAGAGGATGGTGAGTTTTCCAGAGCACTGCTTTACTGCCTGCCGTCTCTCAGTTCTCCTTTTTCCTTTTCCTTTCTTTTTCTTTCTGACCCTCCCCCCTCTCCCGAACTGTTGCTACATTGAAGGGGTCTGTGCTAAGCCGGATTTTTCCACCTATGCAGGATGTTCTTTGGCGACGAGTCGTTTCTCGAACTGGGGCCCACGTCTCAAGCTCCAAGCTTCGGCACGAAACTATAGGAAGGCAAGAATTAGGTTCAATGCTTCGGGGCAGGGAGGTCTGCAGAAAATCAGCCGCAATTGGGCACTGCCTCGACGACGCCGTCAGATATCTCATCAGATCTCAAGAAAAGAAAAGAAAAATCAATTATGGGACTCTGATCCATCTACAGTAATAAATCCCCACCACTCTAGCCTCACTCTTGCAGGACAGAAAGAGACCCTCCTTGCCTCTATGCTTGTAGGTTGGCCTGTTTCATTCGCGTCGTACACGGCTGGCATGGCGAGCTAGCTCGAACGTGGCTTGCGTGAGTCGGGCTGGGCGTCGCTGTGATGAGGATAGTGGCAAAGTGGTTCTGTATATGGCCCACGCAGGGACGTGTGTGGGGAAAACGTAGGAGTCGCTAAAGTGAAACTCTTGAAATTTGCGTCTGACAAGAGACCAGAGCGGCCGATTCCCCTTTCCGACCCAAGAAGCTAGCAGTTTCTTAGTTTATGATGGCTCACAGAGGCCTATGGAGCGAGTCCCCTCTCTGTGAGTAGTTGCCCCCCCCTTACGTGCGTCCTGGTGAAAGCAGATTAGTGTGATGCTCCCATCGGGCTCCTGGGGGTCGAAGCAATCGACCTGTGAGGGCCATTACAGAGTGTGGGGTAAACACAAATGGCGGCTTTTCTGATGATGATCGGAGTGCTCCGAAGCTTATTAATCCTCCTGGAGAGAATCCAAGTGCAAAATAGATGAAAATGTAGGCAGAAATGGGGAATGAGGAGCTGGGGCTGAGGAACATCACTAGCTATGGTGAAACAAACCGTTGCCACGCCGCCGGGAGCGGTTACTGCACCCCGAATACCGTAGAAGTGTCTTGAATCTGTACATGAAAACAGTCCCGTCTTACGGGTGATCTCCTTCAAGACAAAATAGAGCTTCCAAGAGGCGGCTGGAGACGAGTGTGGCGAGGCGAGACAGCGAGCCGTCCCAAGAATACTTAGACATACAGGACACCGATTGAGGTCGGCTGCATGTGTGTGGATAAGCCAATGCTCGATGATGACGGAAATACGCAAGAGTGTCCTGTAAGGAAGAGTCAATGTCTGATTACGACGTGTCGACTCTTGAACTACCTAGACGCTTTTGTATCTGTATTGGATCTTGCGGGTGGGTAGATGGATAGGTGGTGGGCTATGTACAAGCAGGGGAGTCACAGGGACACGGAGTAGGACACGTCCTGACGTGATTGGAAGCACAGAGTTGGCTCGGAAGAGGTCGAAGAGATTACCTATCTATCCTGGTAGTGTCAAGGCATATGGGTGCCACAAGAGGACTGTGTATCAATTGATTGGTATCAACATGAGCATCAAAGTTCCTGGTAAAAGAAGTCGCTGGCCATCGTATCTGGTTCTCGGGGCAAGGTACCTCATCTTTAAGACGAAACAAAGAAATGACTTTGGAGTGATGAGAGGCTATGGAACAACCTGACGAGCACAATTGACGAGCCAACCACAGGCACCTACCTACCAGATCTCACCACCTCGTAGATTGTTGGGAGGTTGAGAGGGTCATTGTTTCCTTGAGAGCGGCCTTGATAGCGCCAGACTAATCGTCGGCAAGGGACGTAGCGTGTGGGGTCGGCTACGATATCTTCTCTCAGTGCTGGCGCCCGGAGATCGAACTTGCCCCCTGCACATCGCGCCTTCCATTGTTAGTGCTAAGGTAGGGAAGTGCCTGCCGACATCTTTAACGAGGACGGACGCGGCAGGCAGGACGTGCAGACGATTACTCCGTATGTGATGTACATACCAACTAGGGCTGCTGATGTATCCATGCTTTCATTTGCCTGCTGCGTGTACATGACCACCAAGTACAGGAGGTCATTCCGGGTGGGTCCTACAGTCTCCTCAGCTCTCCCTTTTGTGACTTGAGAATCTCTCAAGCCTTTTTCCCTCAGGCCTGCATTGGCTCCTATTATGTGCAGCCTTTTTCAGCCAACAAGGCGGCCCAAGAATTGCTGCACTGCATGCTCAGCCGAATTTGGTATAAGCGGTCTCTCTGGAGGCGGCTTTTCTCACGCCTCGGCCCCCCACCACCATCACCCGCGGGCATCATGCCCTGGTGACCTGGTCCTTTCTTGATTGTCCTATTCAGGTGGGAAAAAGCAAACAGAGAAGCAGCTCACAGCAGCTGTTGGTAGCCCAAATAGCCCGAGTTATGCAGAACTATGCAGAACTGGTCACAACTGTGAGTGGAAGGCGGACTGACAGACAGCGCAAGAACAGGGTTGCAGCATATCCTCGTCAACCATGTTGGAGCTGTTGGTCGCCACCCAGACTTCGGACGCTGAGGCTGCCAATATTTTGACTCTCGGGCTTGGGAGGAGTTGGCCAAGACTATGACTACAACTTTCCATGCCACATTGGCGCCCAGTTTTGCCCTTTTGGCCCCCCTGCCTTGCCTAGAGCGAGACTTGCGAACGTCTAAGACCTGCTCATCCCACCTTGGAGGCGTGTTGCGCATCGATGTTATACCACCTGCAAGCAAGCCTTTCCCATCGCTACAGATGGCTCACATACATGGGATCAAGGCTAGGGGGGCAGCTACTGCACAAAGCACCAACGTACAAAGGCCTGCCGGATTACATGTCAGATCTCGTCTAATTCAAAGGTTTTTGCTTGCTTTTTCTTCTCCTACCCCACCCCCTACAGGTACATGCCTACGACGCGCTTGCCTGCCCTCATTCCAATCCCCAAGCTGTTGATCTCTCTCACCCTTCAGCCATCCTCGTTCTCTCCCACAGACGATATCACCCCGACCCGTTTCCCCCGATGGGGTAGGATGGGGCATACATGCTTCATGCCTTCAATACGACAGGTAGTTCGAGACGTACAAGTCACACCCACAGTCGGAGTTCCGTTTACTGGACGCACGCTCTCTAGCACAGTGTTTTGAATTAAATTCCGATCTAGGCAAGGCATAATTATGTGAATAATCCCTTCAGAGTGTCGTGCTTAATACTATCCGACAACCTGGAAAATACTACAGCTTGCATTCATTAGTATTGTTGCTAGTGAATGCAAGGGTTGGCACCAACACATACACAACAGAGCACGCTTATCCTTGCATGGCGCTTTCATTTAGCTCCAGTTAGCACGACTGAGGCTGATCGTTGATGTTACACAGCCTTCTAGTCTGACCAATGCAGATAACGCCAGTCAAAGCCCACAGACCACCGAGGTGAGCATCCCGTCCAACTAGATCTGATCCGACACCCATGTAGAGATTGTCCAGCGAGATTTTCAAATTGTGGCGCTCTCTCCGAGCCTGAGCCCTCTTTCGGATGATCACGCCAAGGTTCAAGGTCGGTCTGATCCGGCCGGCCTATGGCGATCAGAGGACCGTGCGTGAGAGTCTTCAATAACAGGACTGCCCAATTGTTCTCTGTTTGCCCCTCGCTAGTTCAGCTGCCGACTACTAGAGGCAAAGAAGTACGTACCGGCCCACGGCTGGTAATGCCCAGCCTGGATGTACATTACAGACGGCTCGATCGAGTTTGTGCTGTTGGTTGGGTTGATCCATAATGCCGCCTCTTTTGTTGTTGACCATCCTGCCATCCCAAATTTACGAGCAAGTGCATTGCCCTGTCTGGTCACCTACATTGGTCGGCCTCGTCATCGTTCTGTCTTAGAAACACACATGCCAATCTTAACACGAGGAGTCCGTCTGCTTTGGATCAGACGGAGAAGAAGCAAACTCACTCGCACAGAGACTTCAACACGGCGGCTACCTTGCTAGCTTGTCTTGGATCGCCGCAGGTACCTGTTGCTCGAATCTACGCATTGATCCCTTTTCCGTGTATGCAGTTCTTGTTTGTGCTCTAGCCATTGGCATTGGTCTGTCATTTTTCGCTAAACTGGATAGAGGGACACACAGACACCCAACCTTCCGGCTAGAGCTCCTTTCTTTTGCCCATACATGTTGATTCAGGTACTAGGCTCAAAACAAGAAACAATTCGAACTATACGGTCGAATTGGACTTGGTGCCGCAAACCAATGGCCACACGTTCTCTGGCACCCACCTTCTCCTGCTTGCCAGGGTCGTTCGTTGGTGGCTGCCAATTCCCTACCCCATTCACACTCGACATCCATTCTCTATATTAATATCTCCTCCCTCTCCCTCCCTCGTCGACTCAGACCCCTTATGTCTTAATACCCGCTTCACTTGACCAGCTCTACACATAATTTCCAATTGCGGAGGTGCTTTGAACTGCCTGACCAGCACTCACGGAGACATTGAGTGCCCTGAATCATGAGCCTAACTCAGGCCCTGCCAATCCACGACACACTCTCTTATCCAGCGTCGAAGAAGATGAGCCTGAAGGATCTTTCAGACATCCCGACCCCACCACCCTCCAGAGAGGGCTCATTCAATAGTGATGTTGAATCTGTCTGCAGCAGCATATCATCAGAGATTCATACTCCTCAAAAGCGATACCCTCATACCGAGACTGATGGTATGCCTTATGATATTTACCCTCTTTAAGAAGAGAAGAATTTAACCACAAACTGTAGATGTATCAAGATCGCCAAGTCAGAATGGTGATGGCTCAATTGTCCCCCTCGCGTACCCGGCTTCGTCGCCCGCCTCTTCCATAAAACTACCCAGCTATAATGAGTTCTTGGATGGAGTCAAAGCCATGGGCCAACCCTTCGAACCAGCTCCCTCCTGGTCACCAGTGACAACACCTCGCAGCATCAGTCACGGTTTGTACGACCAACAGTCAACGCCTTCGCACTATCCCTACCAAGGCACCAGTCCCTACAACCCCCATGACTACTCTGGCTCCCCTCATCACTATCCCCCGCCGCCATACGGTTACGACGGCTACCCAAACTCAGCCACAGACCCCGAGGGCAGGCACATCAACAAGAAGTACTCAACAGAGGAAGGAGACTTCATCATCTACGCATGGCATGACAAGAAGCTTAAGTGGCAGGCCATCAAGCAAGAGTACGCTATGATTTTTGGTAAAAAACCGAGGCGAACGGTCCAAGGCCTGCAGGCATGGTACTACAGGATGAACCAAAAGATTCCGGTCTGGGACAGTGATGGATGGCTCATCTTTGACGGAGAGGACGAGCTTGAGCCACGACAAGTCAGTATCAAATGCCGCGAGAGGGATCAGGGCCGAAGGCGCGTGCCCGAGCTCATGGGCCTCGCCCAACGATACCCTGAACGGCTCATGGGCTATCACTGGGTCGATCCAGAAATAAAGCAGCAAGCCAGAGATTGGGGTACGTCGACGCCCCCCACACACTCTTTGATATGCGTAATAATTATACTAATGTGTTCTTCACAGCGGCCAAGCGAGAGCTTCAATACCGAGAGCGCCGTGAGAGACGAAAGAAGAAGGAGGCACGAAGGGCGCGGCTGTAGTTTCGGCCGCTGCCCCCCGTCTCACCTTGTCAATCTCAATTCGATGCATCCATTCACAGGAAAAGCTTGGTGCCAAGGAGTATCGGATTCGGACACAAGATGTGACCATCAACAACTAGAATAATGAGACAAGAATAGGTTACGCGTTGGATTGGCAGGCATGGTTATTATTATTTTCCTTTTATTTTCTTCTTCTCTCTTTTGGGTTCTTATTTTCCTTTCTCTTTTCTTTTCTTTTCTCTGTATTTATTATTTCCCACAGACATGATGTAATCTTGTTATACATAGGTACTTCTGGGAGTTGGCTGGCTCTAATACGCCCCCCAACGTGTATGCACCATTGGCCTCGCTACTAGGCTAGGCGGTATTTAGGCATTGAATAATGAAAAGCGCAATTGCCATGACTGGACGGCAGAAACACACGTGCCGACTTTGCTTAGGAATCTTACATGTGTTAAATGACCCGAACAATCACTGCCCGTGTTTCTGACACGGAGTATTGACTACACGCGCGGGGGATAACATTGACCATACCCCACCCCATGCTGTAGGCGGCTGAAGTTGGCCACGGCAGTCTGCAGACAGGCACACATTGGAACACACACACGCCCAGGAAGGATATTGGGGGGCTGGGTGTGGGCAGCCAGCTCGCTTGCCTTTCCCCCGTGACAGGAACCTCACCAACCAACACACTCGCGTGGGCATCCTACACACATGGCGGACCCCATGCTGGCTCGCTCTCTGCCTTCTATCAATAGGAACTTGGGTAGTGGGCAAGCAGACCGAAGGGCCCATTGTGAGCGCCCCATCTCATTCTATTGAGTCGGGTGCAAATCTCCTTGGCACATGCCCGCGCTAAGCTGCTAGCCAGCAAAGAAGGCTGTCTCGCTTCCGAATGGCGGAGAATAGCAAAGGAAGAATAAGGTGCCAAGGCCCTCTTTTTAATCTGCGGACCCCATTCCAGCCTCATTGAAGGTTTCATTGAAGATTCAGCCGCAGGGGGGGGGAAGGCTTTGTCTGCAATGTGGTCAGGTTGGTCCTGCTATTTTGCTATTGAAGAGGCTGCACAGACCGCGAGCTGCCCTCGCGGGGGGACAATGGCAAAGACCCAACGCCAACATTCCGGCGGCCGCAGATGCTTAATTTTAGCAATTGGTAATTCGTCGTGGTCATGGCCATGCAGCCCCGTGCCATGTTGCCCCCCTTGGTAAGCTGGCGCTGAAATATCCAACGGTGGCTGCATTTGCTTGTTGGGAGCAGCTCGCTAATTTCACATCTTTGGGACGAGGGAGTGCACCGTCCGACCGTATCTGCATGCGGCGGAGGGCTTTGGCAATGGAAAACCATGTCTATTTTCACTCGGCTACCTGCAAGACGTGGGGTTTGATGCAACATGCGTGGCGGTAGGCAAGCGAATGCATACCCCGTACATATGTATGTACATACATCTCGGGCGTTTGATCGAAAAGCAATCCCCTGCTCCCCGACCCTCCTTTTCCTCGCCGTCCCCCCACCCTTCCCTCTTCCGCGTGCTGTGTGGAAGTAGAGACTTGCATCCGCGGCCAATAGAACCCAGCCCCGCCTTGTTTTTGTCCTAGGTGACGATGAAGATTATGCAGGCTGCCCTATTGAAGGATGGAAACTCCCTCGTCCCCTGCTCAGGTCTATGAATTAGATTACATTTTAGGATTAAGTTGCATGGAGTGGGAGGGAGCTGAGGTTTTAGCGTTGCGACCTGCGGCCGTGGCTGACTGGTCAAGGTCGACTCCTCATCGGCATGTCAGGCTTTCGTCGCATGTAGTTCTTGATGCGAGCCATTGTCAAATCATCGTCGTCGCCCTCTAGTACCATGTCATCACTGGCCTCAGAGTAGCGATCGTTGTCAAATTCCTCATCATCCGAAGCGTTCATGTTCCTGTAATGGTAAGGGTTGCGACCAAACTCATCGTCGGACTCGACTTCGTCTTCTGGGTAATCTGCAGTGTAGTGGTTTTCAGCTGGTAAGACGTGAGGGTTAGCTGGAGACAGAAAATGCATGTGAGAACGATGGGAATCTAACCATTTTCGTCTTCGTCTTCGTCAATGAGGTCGTCGTCATCCTCACGCTCCGGCCCGAAAAACAGATAGTCATCCTCTTCACCTTCCAGGACAAGAACACCCACATCGGCAGGCGACGTGTCCATTGCCATTGAATGCGCAGGAATACGCACGTATTCTTCAATAACCCATTCGTCGTCGTCTCCGTCCTCTTCCATACCATCCTCGCCACTAGCATCGGTCATGGGTGTATCTGAGGAGCTCGGCACTTGCAAGCCTGCGGTATGCTCGGGATTGCGCTCCGCGAAGCGCTTTTCAGGTGCCTTGGGTCGAAACTTGAGCTTTGGCGATTGTTGTTTCTGGTTCTCTCGCTCCATCTCCTGAAGATTTGCACCAATTTCATTGAGGACCCATTGATTCATATCGGCAGTCCTCTTGTCCATGTTAACGCCATGAGGTTTGCTAAAGGAATCTGGAAGAGGCGCCCGACTTGGCATGTCCGGCTGGGGAGATCGAGCTCGAGGGGTCCTTGGCTTCTTGTAGACTCGAACAGACTCCTTCGCGCCTGCGGCCTTCTCGCGCTCGGAGCCGTTACTCTCCCGCAATGCCTCTTGTGAGGCGGTCGCCTCCCCGAGCTTCTGGCGGATCTTCTCGGCCATCTTCTTTTGTCTCTTCTCGACGAACACTGCGGGGCTGGATCGACTCTTCTTGGAAATTCCTTGACCTGCAGTATTGCTGTTTGCCGCCGCCATAACAGCACGGGAGAGATGGAACCGGCGAGGCTCAGGCTTCAAACGTTGCTGACTGGGCCTTGAAGATATCACCCTCGGCTTTGGCGCAGTATCCTGGGAGGATCCCATTCCGGGGGCACTTGGAGACTCATTTTGGGGTTTCGAGACGTGGATGACCGGCATCACAGCTTGAGGAGGTCGTGGGGCTGAATCTGAAGCAGTGACCTGGCGACGTTGGTAGACCCAATTGCTCCCCGTACGATGCCGCTTGGTGGTGCCATCTTCGAACTCTGAAAGAGATACAGGTTAGATGGCGAGAATGGGATGGTCAGTCAGGAGGTGGTAGTGTTGTCAAAACGCACGGAGGAAGGTGACGGGGGCGGCATCCTCATCCCGCTTTCGCTTGACGCGGATGAGTTGGGGTGGGATTGACATGACTAGGAGCTTCGGTGGCTCAGTTGCAGAGTCACGAATTCCAGATTATAAGAGAAATTAAGAAGTAAGCCATAAATTAGGACGTGGGTCGTCGGGATGATTGCTCTGCTGGCTGGCCTGCTGGCTTGTTTATAATAGTGGTGAGGGGGTGATTAAGCTGTGATGTGATGCTGAGATAAGAAATTTGTCTTGATTGATGTGGATGCCTCTTTTTCCAATAGTGGGGCTATCCGCCAGCTCCCGCCGAACAACCCAAGCTACCCGCCCGATGTACATCATCCACCACCACAGCAGAGGTTGTATTGAGGTACCGAACGGCAATACATGCTGGATACACGCTCAGAATTAGAGAAGCTTGGCCGCCCGTCTTGAACCAGACGCCCGCGGTGCCAGCATCTGGATATCGACTATAACCAGAGCCCATTCAGCCCGTCATGCCAGGCGCAAGCTCTCATAAATAGTGGTACGGGCGCAGGTACTTATCAAGCGACGATCAACCTTGGTGGTACCTGGAAGTCGCTTCGTCATGGCCATGCGCAAACCGGCATGTCTCCTGCAAGTCATCGAGAGTAAAAACAATGCCCCTGGTCCAATTGAGCAGCAGCTTCGTTTCACCCTTCGCCAATCTGAGCAAGCACCGGCCCGGCGGACCAAGGTCTGTCTATCTTTCTCAGCTCGAACACTCGCCCAACTGATTGACGCTACTACTAACGTAGCAGAATTGAGATGGAAGCTGGGGAAGTGGATTCCGCTCCATAACCGCAGCAATAGTGGGTGGGACAGAGAGATGATGGAACCTGATCAACCATCATGATGCACCTGCATACATACCGCCTGATTGCTCCTAGGCAACTGAGGCCAATCCCACGGCCGCATTGAAGCACCCCTCTTTGGTTTCAACGGCGTATGGACCTCGAAGCCCTGGAGCCCTCCATAAGCATTGCCTGACAGTCTAGGCGCGTTGACGGAGGCGGAGCATTACCTTGCGGTACTCGAAACCAGCTGAGCCCGTGCTATTGGGGCCATCGCCCCATGACCATGGCCTTCCATGCCTTGCCAACCGCCTCATTGCAAGGCAGGCATGCACCATTTCCAAGGTCTGTAGGGCCATATTCATGCGCCGTCACCGTAGGCTATGCCTCCAAGGCAGCCCATTGGCATTGGCCTGGTGATCGTTACACGCCAGAAGAGTCCGAGCCCCTTGCTAGATGGCAGTAGATCAGACCACCCCTCATCAAGCGGTCCGTTCGCCGCCTGTTGTTTTTAAACAGGCACAATTGCACACGCATATGCTCAACAAGCCCAATCTCCCACCGGCCTGGGCGGTACCTGGCATCCCGCCGTGCACCAAACCTTGGATGCAGCGCCAGCTCAAACTCTGATCCCGTCTCCACCCCTCTTGCCCATCGTCATCGCTCTCAGCTGTGCCCATTTCAGTCCCGCCCCCGTCCCGGTCGCCACCATCGATCGCATCGCCATTTATTACTTGTGCTTTCCCCTCTCCTCTCTTCCCAGTTTCCCGGTCAAGTTCAACGGGCAGGCTGTTGGCACTGTCGATCTCCTACGACCGATCTACCAGCCTTAGTGGGCAACCATACCTCCATCACATCCATCAATGCACCTTTCGAAGTCGCGTAGCAAATAGTGCCTACATCACCCAACCCCACCTCTAGCCTTCTCGCCTCTCGTCATCGTTTGTCAATTGAATACCCGATCTCGAGCGTCGCCAACTTGTATTGCATATCTCTTATACATAATTCCATGGGTGTGCATACAACGACAGGATACCTTGCCAGCCTCATCTATACCTGCTAGATATCAGGCCATTCTTGTTTGGACTACCATCCGATCTACTACATCACCCTCTCGCCCTCCTTCTCGCTCTACCCCAATCTGCTTACCGACTGCACGGCAAACCGACTGACAAACCGCCGCCCTACCTCGAGCAACCCTCTCGATAACTAGTTTAGCATACATCGCTTCCTGAGTACTCACAAAAGCACATCGACCATAAAGCCTGCCTGCCGTCGACTCGCCAGCTCTATCTCTCCGGCAAGAACAGCAGCGCCAAGTTGTCACGCGTGTCATCGCAAGAAACCACAGCCTTGTAGAACTAACCGAATCCCTAATAGCGGACTCACTGCGTCGTCAATTTTCCCACATTGTCGAAATGGCATCATCCGGATCCCAACACACCATAACCTTCAAGCGGGCAAAGACAGTTCCACCGCTATTTCTAGCTGGCTCCTTCGCTGAATCTAATTGGAAGCCCCAGGAGATGAATGCCAGTCGAGATGAAGATGGAGAATACACCTTTACCGGAACGGTGAACGCAATTCCAGGCCACGAGTACCAGTACAACATTAAGTCTGGGGAGCAAGGGCCGTGGATTTATGATAAGGATCAAGCTCTCGGTGCGTCAATGATATTGATGAACTCGAAAATCTAGACTTCCATCAATGGAAACACTTACCAACTCACTTTTCGAGGTAACAGTCGTTCCCAAGTCTTCCCCGTCAAGACCAACAAAGGATTATTCTGCAGGACTACCTCTGAGGCAAGCTGGGGCAATTGCGGGTGATCGGTCATCCACACCCGCCAGGATAGTTGCCGAAACCGCTGCGGAAGTTGCAGACACGGCAGAACAACTAGTAAGTGCTCAGCTAGCTTGGCTTGAGGCTGTATACCATTAACGATGGTTGGTATGGTAGGACAAGGATTCTGAGCAGACGACATCTGGCTACACATGGGTCAAAGAGGAGCCACTAAGAATGCCCCTTTTCGCCCACGAAAGCTTTGGGGCTTATGAGTTCCTCGCAGATGATGCACTTGATCATGATCAAGTCGATGATGCCCCAAGCCCACATCGGCCACGAAAGGAGTCGAAGGACTACTCATTGGATGAAGTAGATGTTAATGACCCAACAATTGAATCATTTCCCTCGGATCGATCTTCTGTCATGGACACCCTTCGCAAGATTCAATCGAGCGTTGACAGCCAACCGATTTCCATCGAAACTGCATCCCCAATCGCGCTCGAGCACGGCGACGATTTTGCGATAAGCGGCTCCTTGTCTCCCAAGAGCCCAGCGTCGTCTGACAGACGAGAAGGTAGACTCTCGCACAGCAGTTATGGGAACAAACGATCTACTGCGTCTTTGACTTCGATCGCAGAAGAAGGTTCCAAGCCGATTCAGACTCCAAATTTAGGCTCGAAGTCAGGAAAACCCAGAACCGCAAGGCCAAGTTTTGGCGAGGTCTTCGAACTCTCACAAACACCCCCAAGCGACGACGACAAAGGAATGATTATGAAACAGAAAAAAAAGGTAATTAATACACCTAGGCCATAGTTCAATATGGTTTCCCTATGCGTTGAAGACTGAAATGTTTATCGACATCGACAATTCTGTGTAGCCGGGCCTAGCCGTAGACTCAGATGGTCTTTTGAGCTAGAAGCAGAGTCATCCGAGCCAGTCGACCTCCAATAACAATGGCATTATCCCGAGATATGTGGACGTCGAGATCGAGTTCAACCTGGGGACACGCCCCAGCCAAGACAAGAGACGTACGACGACGAGACGAGACCTACAATTTGCCATCTGTGGTAGGGATCATTTTGCGTAAGTAACTAAACTTAATCCACAAACTCCCTTTTGGTAAATAACGGAGAGCTCAAGAACATGCCTAGGGTGTCGTTCCTCGGTCTCCTTAGCATGATTTTGGGGTCTTTGTGGTGGAAGTATGCGGGCAAGTAAGTTGGCTGGCGGTGTCTTTCTTGAGCCCTCTTGGCTCTCGGCCCGTTTATTGTAAATAGCGTTTGTCCACCAGGCGCTTCTCGGACGTACAAATGCGTCAATTCACCTTAGAACCTACAAATGTATAATTTTTCTTCCCATATCGGTGGCCATCTTGTGATTGGTGGCAGATGCAAAACGCAGGCTAAATGACAATCCAGAGGTACAGTAAACCATTTTCTCGTTGAATACGCCAATTAGTATTCAAAGCAGGCATTTTGATTTGAGATGGAGAAAGCATAGTGGACAAGTTGCCACAATGCTTTTGGTGGTTGTGATAGTATGTAGGAGGTTTCGGAGCCCCACTACAATAAAATCTGGGGAAGGACCGTAAAAAAAAAAACGTCCAAGACACGGGAGCTGGTTCATCTTGAGAATCGCACGCCCACCTTCTTACCACCAACTCGACACCCATTAAAACGGACTCATCATGCGGCGCATACCGTCGCAGACCGTTTGCTCCTCATGCCTAATCACCATAAGACAACGGCCGCTGGCGCCTCGAATTTCTCAACCATGGATCAGTGAACGGTTCGTGTCCTTGAGGCAGCCGTCGAAGCCTCGTCCGTCGCGCATGGTTCTCTCGAATCAAGTCTACCGACCGCCTACCGGAGGTAATACCGGAGGTAGGAGCTCCAGGCCGAGGCGACAAGTTGAAGGTCCCTTTGGAGCAATGAACAGAACCGTCGCCAACATCGACCCGACCCGCCGAGGCCCACGATCTCGAACGGCCAGCTCAACAGAGGGAGGGAAGAAAGTCGACGGACCGAGAGATGAGCGCAAGGCACTCAAGATGCAGCGCGCTCTCGCATCGGTGTCTTACACCAAGAGAATGTCCCTCAAGGACCGCATGGTAGACTACGATTCGTTCGACTATTTCGACCTTCTCCCCAAAATCAAGGACTCTATTTACGATGAGCTGTTCAAAGGCCTTGTCGATATCAAGCCGACGCCTGTGCAGAGACTGGCTCTACCGGCCATAATGGGTCAATCAGCACCGGGCCAGCCACAAAAGAAGAGTTCGGAGATGGAATCGTTTCTACTTGCCGCCGAGACTGGTTCAGGAAAGACCCTGGCCTACCTGCTGCCTGCGATTGACGCTCTGAAACGAGCTGAAGCAGAGGATCCGGATATCAAGGCATACAATGAGCGATACGCGGCCGAAAAGGAATACCAACGGTCTACGAATTTCAAGGGAAAGCCCTTTGACGAGCCCCATCCTACCATGGCTCGGCCAAAGGTCGTCATCTTAGTACCAACCGCAGAGCTCGCGCAGCAAATAATGAATGTATCCAAGAAGATTTCGCACGTTGTCAAGTTCAAGACGGAGATGCTTTCTTCGGATCTCAGGCCTCAGCAGATCCAGCGCAATCTATACGGCCCCAAGGGATTGGACGTGATCGTTTCAACACCCCACCTCCTTGCTTCCATCGCCGACTCTGATCCCAACATTCTGTCACGCGTAACTCACCTTATTGTGGACGAGGCCGACTCACTCCTGGATCGCAGCTTTTCTCCTGTCACTACCAGTATCATTGAGCGCGCCATGCCCTCGCTGCAGAAGTTTGTTTGCTGTTCTGCCACCATCCCCCGAAAATTGAACAATTACCTAGCGACGACTTATCCCAAGATGCACCGGATCACAACCCCGAATCTGCATGCCATTCCCAGACGTGTGCAGCTCGGTGTAATCGATGTCTCGAGAGACCCATACCGGAACAACAAGGACCTGGCCTGCGCTGATGCTCTCTACACTCTCGGAAAGGACGCTCAGAACCATGAGGGCCCTGTCAAGGACGAGATTGATGTTCGTCGTGTTCTCGTCTTTGTCAATGAACGTGAGAAGACGGAGCAGCTGGCAGAATATCTCCGTGGCCAGGGTATTCAAGCTACCGCTCTTCACCGTGACACTCCGGAGAAGCGTCCTGGAGAAATACTCGAGGTCTTCACCATGGCTGAACCTCTTACAATTAAGGCCCCGGAGAAGGTTGGCCGCTCCAGGAAGCTCAACAACGTCAAGGTGTTGGTTGTGACGGATCTCGCTTCGAGAGGTATTGACACCCTGGCCGTCCGACACGTCATTCTGTATGACGTTCCCCATACGACCATTGATTTCATTCACCGTCTCGGCCGTGCTGGGCGCATGGGCCGGCGTGGCCGAGGCATAGTCCTAGCCGGCAATGATGACAGGAAGGATGTTGTTGCTGAGGTGAAGAGGAGCATGTTCATGGGCCAGGCGCTCATTTAATGGGGGAAGACGAAGAGAAACCATTAACCGAGCTGTGAGCGCGGTGAATATGTTCAAGCTGTACAACCAATAACCACCATGTATGATACTTCGACTTATTTGTAACGATCCGGCGCAAAGGGCGGGTATGGAAACGGAACACATCTCGCAAATCAACATATGAAGCTTTGTATAGATATACGTATAGAAGAGAGAGCGGCATGAAGTATTTGAGACTAGACTTCTCCTCTCTTAAGCAGGGCAAAGCCTAGAGGAAATTCAATGACATAAACAACAATATAATGGAGGACGCATTCATAGATTCGGCTATACTATGTCTTAAGTGCTATATTTAATGCTGACAGAATGACACGCTATGGGCTCGCTCATATATAAATTCCTGTTCCTTTCACCGGAGCTTGGGAACTTATTCGTTTGACTACGAGGTGGAAATTAGCAAGATGTTCCAAGTGATCGCAGGACAAAGGAGGACGAAATGACATACACTTATCCCAGCTGAAAGGTTCCTCGTTGTGAATCTGGTAAATCCTCCAAAGCCGGCCTACCCAGCACGCTACCAGAAAATCAAAGTCCTTGGCATCCAGGGCAGCAGATTGGATATCCAGACGAGGCTGGACTTCTATTGAACTGTCCTTGGGTTTGGGCGGGCTCGTCTCCAACGCAACGACACGCCCGTCCTTGTCCTTCCACTCGACTGGCTTGTCCTTCTGGAGCAGCTTGATCCTGAACCCTTCCTTCACCTGGAGGACATCTTTAACCTCGCACACCGACCAGTTTGGCCTCCTCGTCACCAGCTCTCTATGCTTGTACGTGCTCTTCGGCCCAAGCTTGCCCATGACGTCGACATGGCCAAACACGTGGAGGCTGATGGTCTGCGGGCGGACGTCGTAGATGTGACGGGTCCGGGCGCGGACGCTGCCCTCGCCCGAGTGGTCAGTCAGGCGGTACATCACCTTCTCTACGCCGCATATCCCGCGGTTGCCATCGGATATCCGAGTGCTGAGCTCATACAGCGGTTGATCGGGGCGGCCGACCGGGTGGATCTGGACGCCGTTCAGGACGAGCGACGGGAGTTCGCTTCCGAAGAGCTGCTCTCGCGGGTCTGAATCGGCAGCCAATGCGTAAGATGGCGGTTCGGCCGGGGTGTCTTGAGACGTGCTGCTGTTGTTGCGGCCTGAGTCTTCGTACGCTGGGGGGAGGCTATGGGGCTCCATGGCTGAGTGTTCACTTGATATGTCCGCCTGACAGGTCTGCCGTCATCTCACGCTTTCATTCATCAGTTCAGAAAGCCGTCTGGCAAGTAATGAGCAGAAAGTGTTAAATTACGAATAGGCAAGAGTGAGGGTATTTATTATTCCATCAAAAGACTTTGGTTGCGTGACCCCGCTTACACCGCCAGGCTTGGCTGAGGCTTGGCTACAATCTTGGGGCATCTTGACCAGATGAGTCCATCCTGGATGGAGACAGAGACAAACAAGGCTCCTCCTCGGGCATGGATTCTATCTTAGTGATGTCAGTGGATTTAAGGTGCACGAACTGGACGTCTTTGTTAATTGGCGCTAGTCCTTCTTGGGAGGCTTCGAGCACTCAGTGTTTTTTTTTTTGGTGGGCTGTCGAGAGTCCAGACTCAGCTCAGGCTGTTTGCCACCCAACTATGCGCTAAGTGCCTACAGTAGGGACGAAACCACCAACAAACACGCGACGCGTTCCGTCTGTACTTGACCCTCCACCACACAATCATCCAAGCTCCAATTCACGAGGCATCCCGCATTGCCTGTTCACTACCGGTAAAAGCTGTCACGGCGCTTTCTCAAATATCCCCAGGACCATCGCAGCTTATCCGATTCTCTGTTTAATTATTTCGATTGGTTTTATCTGACTGCACGCAATGCCTCGGCCAAAGAGGGCGCGTCCTGGCGCTGTCGCCACAGCTAAGAAAGCAACCCAACCAGATATTAATCCTGCGCCTCGAGGACGATCGCGCACGACCAGATCCATGGCGTCGCGAACAAGCGCAGATGTTGATTCTATCCTGGATGCAGCCAACCGCACTCGCGATACCGCCCTGGATCGTCTCGCAAACGAGGACATCACCACGACCGGAGACGATGATACCGCGGGCTCGGTGGAGCTCGGACGAAGGAGCTCAGCAGCAACACCAGCCCACCGAAGAGATTTGACTGGCCTCGATCTAGCAGATGACGTGTTCGGGGACCTGGAGGACAGTTTCGAGGACGAGGGCTCAGTGCGAGGGCGCTCCACCGAGGTTTCGTCTTTCACTCTTAGCCACATCAAGCCGAGATCCAGGTCGCGTCAATCCAGCATTGTCGGGCGCAACGACCCTCCCATTCGCCCTAGCAGTCGAGGAGGTACTACGCCGCTTGTGAACTCAACCTTCAACATTAGCGCATTCAGAAGGCGCGCGCGCGAGCCTAGTATTTTGGGCACTGGCCGAAAGCCACGGCCAGATGTCACGTCCACGACTTTCACCACGCAAGGCGACAATAGGTCCGACACTGAGGAGGAAGAAGACGAATTCGCCCCCGAGGCCGAATCTACGCCTCTGAACAACAGACGGCGAACTCAACCTACTCCTCAAGAACCCGAATCCGAGCAAGAACAAGAGCTGGATCCAGAGCCAGTTGCGACAAGGAGCTCCAAAAAGAGGAAGAGTGATGGCCCAGCAGAAACCGCGCGCCCAGAGAAGGTATCGCGTACGGATGATCCTGAACCAGAGGAAGATGTCGATAGCGACTCGTCTTCTCTCTCATCACTTCCATCTTTCGACCAACCTCTACCTGAGCTGGGGCGGCCAGTCACCCCGGTCAACCAAATGGATTATGCTGCACCACCTGCTAGCAGTGGCTCTGAAGACGAGGACTTCGAGTGGCCGGATATTCACGGCCTCGCCAAGAGGCGCCGGAGGCCGTCGGCAGCAGATCCCCTTGACCACGATAGCATGTCCAACGTTTCCTCCCCTCCCTCCCTCACACACTCACCAAACTTCGAGACTAAGGCAGCTAAGACTCGGGGTCGGCCTAGACGCCAATCCTCCCCTAAGCTCACGACAGCGGACCTGGCGAACTTGCTACCTAGGAGGAGGCATCAAAGAGCCCACAGCCCTGTTGATCTGGCGAGCGATGACGAGATTGACACAGCCGGAATTGGACATGATGAGGATGAGCTATCATACGTTGATGCCCCACGGAGGAGAAAGGTGACGAGGTCCGCCACTCGTGGTCGCTCTACTCGCCAAACCACCCGGGGAGGACCTTCAACTTCTAAGCAACCAGAGAAGAACACCAACAAGTCTCGTCCCAGTCTCACTTACTCGCGAAGATCATCAGATAAGGAAAACGAGAGTGAGGGTGACGACACTGAAGGAGATGAGCGGAGCCGGTTTCAGCCCCTCCCTGACGATACCTTCGAAGCTGACACCACACATACACCGGAAGAAAACAAAACGGAAGAGCTAAAACAAGCAGCGGCTAAATTCAAGGAGGTGGACCGCTGGGAACTGGAATATGAGGAAGCTACGCAGTCATCTTCACCTGCTGGAGCTCGATAACTCGGTAATCTGTTTTGGCGTAAAGTTGTTTGTTTAGCGGCGGTTAGGTTCAGGAGTATTGGCGCCCGTTGGGGGGTATGATGAATAGTCTACATCGTCTTTTTTGAAGTCTTGATCGTTATCAAAGTTCCTCGTTGGCTTTCCAGTCATGTCTCGGACAAATCAATAAATAGTCATGTCTTGAAGCCGTTCATTCATTCGTAGATATTTGCTAAGCCCATCCTTTCTTGACGGTCCCCTACTGTACCTCTGAGAAGGTATGTTTTAAGCCCATTCTTGTAGATGGGTCCCCATTTCATCCTTAAATATCTTGGTTTGCGAAGATCACCCTGAAAGACGGCGCAAACCCTCAAAACGCCGCGGAACCATATCCATAAGAACAATCCCAAGCCTCAATCTGGCCCTGATAGTAACCGCAATAGTGAACTACGCACCAAACCTGATGGCGTCTGTCATCTGCTTCTTAACGTTGAGGAGAGGATCCAAGATGTTGGGGTCGCGAAGGGCGATGGTAACATCATCCGGGAGTCTTCCACTCATAACTAACTTCTGTAAAAGGGTCAGAACTGCTGGCGAAGAATAATCCCTTCTCGGGAATGCGGCCGCAAAGGATTCAAAAATGCAACATACCCTCTTTACAGGCTGGAAGTATTCTTCCTTGGCGGTATACTCGCGGATCACCTCATTCCGATCAAAGTCGACGTAGACCCGTGTGTCGTTGATGCGCACCATGACGCCGTCCAGCCGCATGAACAGGCGGCACAGCAGCAGCATGCGCCGCTCGTGCACGCGCACCTTGCAGCTGTAGATGGAGATGCCGTTGTCGTCCAGCTCGCTCTCGTACAGGATGACCTCCTCGAAGAACAGCATGGGGTCCCGCCGCTGGAGCAGCGCGAGGGGGATGTGGTGGCCGATGCCCGGGGCCAGGCGCTCGCCGCCGGCGCCCTCGCCCTCGGTGCCGCTGTAGTCGGTGGTGTAGCTCCAGTCGTAGGGCTTCACGATGTTCTTGATCTTGGTGGTGGTGTCCTCGCGGGTCCGCTCCCAGTCCCGGGCGTACGAGACCTTGAGGAGCTTCTTGCCCTCCTTGTCGACGCGGTTGAGCGCACCGAAGGCGTCGAAGGATATGGACCAGCCGGAGGGCTTGTGGGTGATTTTAATCAGGTTGTCGCCGAATATCATCTCGGGGACGGGAATGCCGAGCTTCTCGTTGAGCTCGTCGATGGGGCCGGCCTTGGAGATCGGGAGCTTGCGGGCTTCGATTTGGAAGACGCCCTGGGTGTGGACCTTGGTGGCCGCATCTAGCTCCTTTGGATCTGGGAAAGGCTCGTTTGTCGATGTGACGTGGTTCGTGGTTGCGGCCGGACGGGGAGGTGGCCCCAATGGTTCGCTGCTGGAAGCCATCGCGGGGAGGGAGGGGGAGGGGCACAGTAGAGCAATATGTATTCACGAGGATTGAAACCTCAGTAAATGTGAGGAGATTGAAAATCCAGGATTTCAAATCGAAGCGTAATTAATGCTCACGGCCAACGGTCAGATATTTGTAACCCACAAAGACTGAAACCCCGCCGAGCTGCTGTAAGCTTGGAGTTTTGTTGGAGGGGAGCTACAATAAGGCTGGAGCCTTTTACATCACTCAGGCCCCTGACCTTGGCTCACCGAGCTGCTGATCACACCGAAGCCGCACACACCCGTCAACTACCAACCCCACATCAGATCACAGGCGGTTGGAATGACGATGGCATTAATGCTAAAACACTAGGGCATCTGATCTGAGATTGCTAGCCGGCAAACTTTCATTAGGTATTCCAGTTTCGTTGTGCAAGAGTCTAAAACAAGGGTTCGGGATCTAGATCTTCAATGGGGTTAGCATGCCACCGCCTATACCCTGTTGTTGCCCTGGCAACGTGGAGCTTCAGCTGGTATCCGGGGCAGCCCGCTTGTCGTCCGACATGTACACACAGACTCCCTGCCTTTAAATACAAGCTCCATTGATGCAGCTCCCTCTCTCTCCGACAACTCAGGTCAACCTCTCGTTGCGCTCTCTCTCTCTCCAACCTTGGCAGGCCACCGGCATTCCATATCCCAACAATGGCTAGTCGCACATTGGAGTCGCGCTTCGAGCGCATGTCCGTCAATGACGAGAACGAAATTGGCGATGCCCCCAGGGCCTACTCCAAAACAAAGGTGTGAAGTTCCGGGTGATGATGGATGCAGCCAGTGAGAACGCATGCTGACCTTGCGCTTTAGACTGTGGCTTCCACCACATCCTCCCATTCGGCGCACAGCAGCAGCCGTGCCAACCTCGTCAAGGTTGCGCTGCAGTCCCAGACCAGCAACACGGTCGCAGCCGTGACTTTGCCTTCTCAGGCCGCTCAGCGAAAAGCCAACAACCCTCCTCCCTCGCCGCAACGAAAGCCACTGCCCACCGGCAGCTCGTCACGGGTCTCAGACGAAAGTGCCGAGGAGCACTCAAGGGCCTCGCAGTTGATCGAGCAGCCCAGCATCCCCAAGCAGTTCCACCTCGGCATGTTCGAGATTGGCCGGCCTCTCGGCAAGGGCAAGTTTGGGCGTGTATATCTCGCAAAGGAGCGGACAAGCGGCTTCATTTGCGCCCTCAAGGTCATGCACAAGAACGAACTGCAGCAGGGCGGTGGTGTCGAGAAGCAGGTACGGCGAGAGATTGAGATTCAGAGCAACCTGCGACACCCTAATATCCTCCAGCTCTATGGCCACTTCCACGATAGCAAGCGGGTGTTCCTCATCCTCGAGTTCGCTGGCAAGGGCGAGCTGTACAAGCATCTCCGTAGAGAAAGCCGCTTCCCCGAGTGGAAGTCGGCTCAGTATATTGCCCAGATGGCATCTGCGCTGCGGTACCTCCACCGAAAGCACGTTATTCATAGGGACATCAAGCCCGAGAATATTCTCATGGGAATCCACGGAGAGATCAAGATCTCGGACTTTGGCTGGAGTGTCCATGCCCCTAATAACAGAAGGAAGACCATGTGCGGAACTCTTGACTACCTTCCCCCCGAGATGGTCAAGCCCGGAACCAGCGAAAACTTCTATGACGAGAAGGTAGACCTGTGGAGTTTGGGTGTCCTGACATATGAATTCCTGGTTGGCGAGGCTCCCTTCGAGGACACACCTATCATGACACAGCGCAGGATCGCTCGTGCTGACATGTCAATTCCCTCCTTTGTCAGTGCTGAGGCTGCCGATCTCATCAAGAAGGTTAGTTATCTCAACAGTTCCAACTTGCTTCAATCAACCACATACTAACTCCAGGCAGCTACTTGTGCTCGACCCTGCCAAGCGAATCCCGCTCGACCAGGTTCAGCAACATCCCTGGATTCTCAAGCACTGCATCAAGGGTGAGAGAGTGTACAACCGAGAGAAGTCCACATAGACTCGGTTTAATGAGCATAATGACTTGATTGTCTTTCTTTTTTTTTTCCAATATTTATTGGCTTGCTTAATTGGCGTTGGTTTTCATCACACACCATGGGATGGGTTACGGATTGTGCATATATTGGAGTTCAAACCATTTTTGTAGTTCTTTCATACAGGCGACAAGAAAACAGACAAACAGACTGAGAGAGAGTATGTTTTTGACTATGACATTACTTGGGTATCGTTAATTTTCATTTTCATGGCACACAAAGCTGAGACGGCGAATCGCTTGAATAATAGTACAAGTGTGGTGCGAGGCCTGCCATAACATGTTGCCTCCGTTTCCCGTTTTATCTATACACTTCATCGAATGGCCTGGTATCTGAGAAGCACGACTCCCAAACCTTGTTCACCACATTGGTAGCTTGTTCCTCGTCTTTACATCTGGGCCTAGCCATGACCGATTGGATGGCTCTCCGACGAACGCAATGCTGAAACTGCTGCGTCAGGTTCCATTGACCCCGTGTGAAGGTTTCTCGAGTCCAACGGCACTCGCCGCTTAGCATCGAAGCACGAATCTGTGGTAAAGCTCTCAGTTAGCATGGGCCCTTTCATTCACATGCGATCCAGTAGGCCGTGCATACCTCGGTGCAGGCGGCATGTTTGAGATCTTTGTCGCCCATCCAGTCCACCTGCCATCTCAAATGGTCCCATGCGTGCACCATCTCATGCGCCAGCGTGTCCTCCATGTGTTTCCGATCCCTGATCTCGTTGGCGCAGAGGAGAATGCCGTGGTCGGGGCTGAAGCCGCCAGACTGCCTGTGGACCTGGCCATCCTCGGTAAGGCGGGCAGGGCACCGCCGGCACATGACATTGTCCTTGTTCAGGTCGCCGTTGAGGTCGCCAATTTTCTCGGACAGGAACCGGACGACGGGGGAGTGCGTGAAGAGCCAGTTGCGGTTGTCCTCGCAGCGCTTGCAGTCTCTCTCCTCGTGGACCTTGTAGCGCCACTCGCGGTAGTGGAACTTGCCCTCGTTGGTCATCCCGCCGGACAGGATGCGGAAGTAGTTCATCCACCACTTCATCTCCGGATCGAAGCCCGTTCGCGCTGGGTCGTTGAACAGCTCCTTCTTGGGCCCATCCGACACGACGGGAGTCGGGGCGGCGGGAGCCGAGGTTGCTTCCTTTGGTTGATCCATCACAAGAGAATATGGCTGGACTTGGGGAGGGGGAAAGTGGTCTGTTATTTCCTCAAGGTTCTCTCTCCCGTTCGGATTGTCAGATGCGAATAGCCTTGAGGTATCGCAGGCTACATATGCGATCGCGACTAGTTCCTTTTTCGTACTGGCCCTCCTGAAGCACTGAACAAATTCTGCCGGCCAGTGGCAGGGAGCAGAGGCAGGGCGGTGAGCTTGTGTCAACGGGGAGGGAATACCGCACAAATTGTGGGCCCGACGTCGGTGTTGGGCGCCGCGAAACCGGCGGCACGGCCTGGCAGCATGTACCTACAGGTTTCCGCCCAAGTGATGACAGAAGAAACGAGACACTGATTTGATGAGCAATTGCAAGTAGCGCCCAATTTACAATGGCCAAGATGGTACAATCATAAAAACAACATGTCTCAATGATAAAGAGTGTAGTATCTGGTTATTCGTTTATTATTCGTCTAAAGTAATCCAAAATCTTCGTCATAGCTCCAAAAGTATAGCAGGACTAGACCTTTAGTGTCTCATTTTTCTGTCACTCTGCTAAGAGGTACCCGACCCAGTCCACGCCGTTAGTCTGCCCAAGGTGGTTTTAATGGCAGCGCGGACGGTATTACTCACATGGATGTTTTTGCTGCCATCCATCCAAATCTACACGACCCCCCCCCCCCTGGACTGAACAGTTCCAGGCAATGATTGGCGAAAGATGGCGTGTGAAATTGATCGTAAGCCAACCCGTATTCACAAGCATTAGAATGAAACTTGAGGACATACGAGTGTTCCACTACCGAGGATGCCAAGTGCCTTTGCGAACGGCTCTTTGGCTCCCTCGAGGACCAGTGGAGTTCCGTAACCCTCCATTGCTCCTTCGTCTTGCGTCAATGGCAAGGCGTGCAAACAGGCTTTAAAATGCCCTGTGCCCGGAGTAGTGATTTTTCTTACTCTCATTCATTTCATTCTCGCTTTTAGATCAAATCGTTTCTTCGCTTGGCTGACTCTTGATCAAATCTGATAGGCATGAAGAAGTCAAAGGTTTTGACCGTTGTCATAAAGCTTGGTAAAGCTCCCCTATCCGATACTCACCTTCTCAAAACTTGGATGGGAGCAGCAAACTGACACAGTATCTGTAAAAAGGCACAAGCTCAATTGTCGATGAAAAGACTCATGAGCCCCTTCTACCCATCCTGACTTTGATTGTGGACACGGCGGTCAAGCTCCGGAAGCATGGCCATCGGGTCATCATTGTCTCCTCGGGCGCCATCGGCGTTGGCCTGAGGAGGATGGATGTTGAGAAAAAACCGAAGCATCTTGCAAAGTTACAGGTGAGCTCCCTCCCAGCTGCAACTCTGAAAGACGATCCTCTAATCGACCAAACCCTCCAAATCAGGCCCTCGCAGCAATTGGCCAGTGCAGACTCATGAGCCTTTGGGATGGCCTCTTCCAGCACCTGGCCCAGCCCATTGCTCAAATTCTCCTCACGAAAAATGACATTGCCGACGTAAGTTAGAAATAAAAATTACAAACAAGTACCGCACCCACGTCATAAAAGTGGTTGCTTTGGTTGGTAGACCATTCGGCTAATGGGAGCTTTCCCAAAGAGGACGAGGTACCTGAACGCGCAAAACACAGTCAACGAATTACTCGACCAAGGGGTGATTCCCATTGTCAATGAGAATGATACGTTGGCTGTTTCCGAAATCAAATTCGGCGACAATGACACCCTGTCGGCAATTACTGCCGCCATGATTCACGCCGACTTACTATTCCTCATGACCGATGTGGATTGTTTGTATGACAAGAACCCACGCACGCACCCTGACGCTCGCCCAATTGAGGTCGTCGAAGACATTTCGGAGATTCAAGCCGACGGTCAGTCTTATCCGCGATTGTTTTTCCCTGGCTATGATGTTGTTGTTGCTAACACTTGGTGCAGTGTCAAGCGCCGGCTCCTCGCTTGGAACTGGTGGGATGAGCACAAAAATCATCGCTGCTAGGCTTGGAACGTCTGCAGGGGTCACAGTTATCATTACACGATCCTCGAACCCCGGCAATATCCTAAACATTGTCAATTACCTCCAAATCTCGTCTGGCCCAAGCACCCCTGACGATCACAGCGCCCTGTCGCTTGTGTCGTCTTCAACCTCCCTGAACCTGATGGCCCAATCTCAGGTTATAAATCCAGATGTCCCGCCCCTCCATACACGATTCCTTCCTTCGAGCGATCCTATTCGGGATCGTTACTTCTGGCTCCTTCACACGGTCAATCCTCACGGGACGATCTACATCGACCAAGGGGCGCACCGGGCACTGCTTGGCAAGGCCGGGCTACTCCCCGTGGGTATCGTTGACGTTGAAGGAAACTTTGCCCAGCATGATGCCGTGCGGCTCGTTGTTGTCAATAGGCTACGAGAGCCCGGGCCAGATGGCAGACTGCGTGGTGACTACGCTGAAGAGGTCGGCCGAGCACTTGTGAACTACGCCGCGGCTGAGATCACTCAGGTTATGGGTCACCAGAGCGTGGAGATTGAGAAAATCCTAGGGTACGCGGATAGCGACTACGTCGCCAACCGCTCCCACATTGTGTTTTACAGAAGCGAAAGTCGGCCACCAACTCCCAAGCCCTCTGATAAAGTCAATGGCAGTGCGGCATGACGGATAACAAAAGTAAGGTACAGATACAGCGTAATAGGAATGAAGGAAATAAAGAAAAAAGGGGAGATAGGTTGGGGTAGAAAAACTCAAGGAGAGTCGTCAACAATTACCGACGTCTACTCCGGTTGTGCTTCAACAACATCAATGAGTATCATTTAGCGAGCAGTGGCTTTTTCTGCTATTTATTCTCATTTAACTGGATTTTCACCAGTATGACTTCTTCGCTTCTCTTGTCGAGGCTTTTATCTGCGTGAGTTGATGGTCCGGTACAACTTCTTTAACCAACTTATTCAGAAACCGCCTCGGGCTTGAGGTGACGTATATGATGAAACAGACGATCGGAGGAACAGTGCTCAAACTCCGAACTAGCAACCGTAATCTTAAGCAAAAGGAAACCAGAGATAGCTTTCTACATTAGGATTATTCCTAATTTAAATAAGAGAAACGGGCTGACAAGTTGTCTAATATATTGAGAGTGTTATCCCGATGTCTCTGCTACAGGGTAGCTGGGGATTTCGAGGGACGAGACCAAGCCGCCGGGGTGCGGCGTTAAAGTTATTCCTGACAGGCCAAAAAAAAGAATAATTAGTCTGCCAGGGGAAAGAAAAAGTACGATTGGAGAACATTCGAAAAGTGATAACATTAGCTCGCCCATCGACATAATTTCATCCCGTCACTAGGATAGCACTTGACGCATTGGTACCCGCTAATAATAGGTATCCAGCTGCGTCTAGAAGAGAGTGAGAGAGCTCGCGCCAGAGTCTGCATGGTAAGGTGCTGTGACCACTGCCACAGGTGCAGATAGCACGCTAAAAGGATAGACCCTCCTTCTGCAATTAGAAGGGTCCCCAAGCCATCGCGCAACTCTTATTGGCGGGCAGCTGCTTTGACGCTTCTGTGCCCTTCTCCTACCCCTCCCCCACCATCAGAGGAACCGGTGCGACTTGAGTTTTCTGACTCACGCGCTCGTCCTCGCACACGTTGATATCGAGTGGATGAAGCCAATTAGAGTCATACATATTTCGAGACTCCCCGTCTGCACCAGACCTATCTTTAGACCATACACAACACCTTTGATTCATATTGCTACTGGACCTAGAGCGCCAACCAGCTTCCCTCGGAAGGCTTGCTCCTTTAGCACCTCTTCGCACGCGTACAGATACATAGTCCCGGTTTCCAAAAAGGCAAACCTCCAGAACAAGATGGCTCCCAGCGCAACCACCCTCAAGGGCCAGCCCCTGGACAAGGTCCTTCTCGAGAGCATGCTGAAGCGGCGCTTGTTCTACACCCCCTCATTCGAGATCTACGGCGGTGTCGCCGGTCTCTACGACTATGGCCCCCCCGGCTGCGCACTTCAGGCCAACATCATCGATCAGTGGCGCAAGCACTTCATCTTGGAGGAAGACATGCTCGAGGTCGACTGCACCGTCCTGACCCCCCACGAGGTTCTCAAGACCAGCGGCCACGTCGACAAGTTCGCCGACTGGATGTGCAAGGACCCGAAGAACGGCGAGATTATGCGAGCCGACCATTTCGTCGAGGCCGTTCTCGAGGCTAGACTGCGAGGTGACAAGGAGGCACGTGGCCAGGCGATTGTGGAGAAGGAGGCCGACCCCAAGAAGAAGAAGAAGAAGGCCAAGTCCGAGGCTGTGAAGCTCGACGATGCTGTGGTGACGGAGTACGAGGAGGTTCTGGCCAAGATCGACAACTACGACGGCCCCGAGCTTGGTCAATTGATCAAGAAATACGAGCTGAAGAACCCCGAGACAGGCGTGCTTCCCACCGACCCCGTAGCATTCAACCTCATGTTCCAGACCTCAATTGGCCCCAGCAGCAACCTCGCTGGTTACCTGCGACCCGAGACTGCTCAGGGTCAGTTCCTCAACTTTGCCAAGCTCCTCGAGTTCAACCAGTCCGGCATGCCCTTCGCCTCTGCCTCCATTGGCAAGTCCTACCGAAATGAAATCTCACCTCGTGCCGGTCTGTTGCGGGTGCGAGAGTTCCTGATGGCTGAGATTGAGCATTTCGTTGATCCCGAAGGTGGCAAGAAGCACCCTCGATTCGCTGAGGTTGAGGACATTGAGCTTGTCTTGCTGGATCGCGACACTCAGCTCTCCGGTAAGACTGTTACCAAGAGCATCAAGATTGGTGAGGCCGTCAAGACTAAGCTCGTCGACAACGAAACGCTCGGTTACTTCATCGCCCGAATTCACCTGTTCATGATTAAGATCGGTGTCGATGTGAGCAAGATGCGCTTCCGCCAGCACATGGCCAACGAGATGGCCCACTACGCCGCTGACTGCTGGGACTGTGAGCTTCTGACCTCCTCTGGCTGGGTTGAGTGTGTTGGTTGTGCAGACCGTAGCGCTTACGACCTGAGCGTTCATGCCAAGAAGACGGGTGCCCCCCTCCTCGTTCGCCAGCAACGTGAAGTGCCTCTCGTCATCGAGGAGTGGCAGCTTGATATCGAGAAGAAGAAGTTTGGCCCTCTTTTCAAGAAGGACGCCAGGACTGTGGAGGGCGCCCTGGAGGCCACCACCCAGGAGCAAAGAGAGAAGCTGGCCAAGGAGCTTAGCGACAACGGCAAGATTACCTTGGACGTCGCCGGTGTCGGCAATGGCCAAGTCGAAGTTAGCAAGGACTCAATCAAGATTGAGTTCCGTAAGCGCACCGAGAACGTTCGAGAATTCACTCCCAATGTCATTGAGCCATCGTTCGGTATTGGCCGAACTCTCTATGCTCTTCTTGAACATAACTTCTGGACCCGAGCTAGCGATGGTGGCGATGAAGCACGTGGTGTAAGTCTCCGATTCTGCTACAAAATGGTCCGCCCTAACTGTGAATCCTGAATCACTAACTTCCCCCCGCAGGTCCTGTCCTTCCCTCCCATTGTCGCGCCCACAAAGGTGCTGATCGTGCCTCTGTCTTCCAACGTCCAGTTCAAGCCAAACCTGAAGAAGCTGTCACAGCGTCTACGCAGTCTCGGAATCTCCAGCCGTGTAGATGACTCATCTGCCAGCATTGGCAAGCGTTATAGCCGTAACGACGAACTCGGCACTCCTTTTGGCATCACAGTTGATTTCCAGACCCTTCAGGATCAGACTCTCACGCTCCGTGATCGTGATTCGACGAGGCAGGTCCGTGCCGAGGAAGACAAGATCGTGGATGCCATCAAGTCATTGGCGGATGGCAGCAAGACGTGGGCTGATATCGAGGCTGAGCTTCCAAAGTTCGAGGGCCAGGAGATTGAGGTTGCAGAGAGGTGAAGCGAGAAAAAAATGTTATGTTTAGCTATGATTATGATAGAGCAACGAAATGCAGACTGTCGGTGCATCATGGCATTAAGTGCCACAATGCAACATACATGTGCAACCGTTTTGTGATGAGTCGGATATAAGTGATGCGAAAAGTGATGCGAATAGGTTACAGCAAACCACGATGAAGGCAAACAGTCATCATACTCACTCACCAGCTCATGGTATAAATATATCCCAAGAGCACACTTCAACGAGTCCCCTTTGAGTTCAACGAACAAACTCATACCAAGCATCTTCAATCAAGCCCAAACGAATTTGCAAAGTCGAGATCCACCAGCTACGAAGCAGCACCGCGACATATCTACCCTCCACCGATTCTTCCTTTGAGCAATCAAACTCCAGAAATTCGACCACTATGCCGGATTCACCAGAGCCTAACTATGACATCCCCAACACCCTCGTGCAATGCGACAGGTGCGAGGGGTGGACCAGCTCAGTTGTGGACTCCCAATGCCAAACAGAGGGCTGCTCGGGAACACTTTTAAGTGTACCATCTACAGAGGAGGCCAGCGGGGGCACAGCAGGCGAGGGCACAACAGGCGAGGGAGGAGGTGAGCCGCCCCTAACCAACGGGACTGGGGCTTGATCGTTGGGGACATCTTCATGACGTGCTGTTGTTAGGAGGAGACTGGCATGGTCATGATGATGTGACATGTGATTTTTATTTTGTTTTTTTTTGGCCTGTTTTACAGTGCCTCCAGCTTTCCTTGGAGAGAGATATCGGGATCCGATTAGAAAGATGTGATTGGCAACGGTCATGAACGGACAGGGCAGGTTTAATTTAGTTATCCTAGGGTAGAAAATTTAACTTGTTCACTGTTTTGATCGTGGTCTGAGCTGGCTATTTTAGTGATATGAAGTCATAACAGGCTTGTGAGGCTAGGCCCGACCCATAGGTACTAAGTGTAGGGAATGGGTATCCTATTTTTTCCATCACTCCTGTTCGGGTCAGTCTTTTACGAAGGATCATTGCATACTTGGCTGGAGGATTTCCTCTTCTATCGATGTGCGTTCTCTTTCGTTCTAAAGCTGACTGCATGCTCGGAGCAGGAATGGCGTATAGTGTGGCTGGTGAGCCTATGCCGTGATATCTTGCCTCCTAAGGAATGGTCCATGTCAGCGTAGAATTATGTATTTGGGTTGCTATAATCAATCGCGTGCTCCTCCCAGTGCCGGACGCTTATACCAACATGGTGGTGAATCCTAAACGCTAGCCTCAGGGGTGCACCCTCCGGATCTGCAAAGCCATCAGGGACAAGTGAGATTCCATCGACGCCAGTGCATGTAACGCTGGCAGCAGGCACTGACGTCTTGCTTTGCAGAGCAAGACAATGCGAAACGTGATTTATCGATACACAGCATGAAGGTCTGGTGAGTTCCAGCGAGCATGCTTACAGGCCAGGCTGAATCCACCCCTGCGCTGCCCGGAAGAACGAGAGACAGTGCTGAAGACAGTGGTGCCCAACAGCAAATGATCGGCCGATGTCTGCTCAGGCACCTTACCTCAGAAGCTCCCAAGGTTCCTTTTGTGGTCAGCATGGGACGGAGCGCCGGTGGAGTAGCCAACTTGTCTAGAGTCACAGTAGCCAGCAACCAACACAACCCTATGACAGCTACTAAATAGGTAAGCAAGACATTAATTATAGGCACTGTGGGAATGGATGGGGCCGCTGTATTATTGCT